ATTGCTATTCCATTTCCCGAAATAGCTCTATAGTAGTTTTGCTATATTCTGCGCATACAAAAGCCAGGTCTTGCCAGCCGAAGAGAATAAAAAATGCCTGCAACACAAGTAATGTGTGACCCCTCCGCATGGTGACTGAGGCACGTCCAATTCTGGCTTACATAGCCTCTGTTTGGACAAACTGCGCTAGTGAAATCACCAGAAACATTGTGAGTATCCTGAATGAAACACTATCTTCTCTTCTTAGCCGCCACGGTGCTCTGGCCGTTATGGTGATTAGCAGCTGTCCCGCAATTTCGGCCGCGGCGGTCACAGTTTAGAGAGAAAAGAAAATACTTGAGGCCCACGTGCTTGGATTTAAATGCACGGTAAATGGCCCCAGGTGGTCGAGATTTCTGGGGCCTTTTACTACGGCGCTTCTCATAATCATATCGTGGTTTTGAGACAGTAAACCCAACTATTGTATTACTTTTTTGCAGGCCTTCTGCTTTGCCTGCTATCTCTCGTAACAGTTTTTTTTAAACACCATCTTTACAGTGTTTGCGGTAGAGAATTAGGTATCTCTCATCTACGAATTACGGGTTCCCGGTAACGACAGCACATCTTTAGCTCACAGGTGCGACACAGCGGATTGCACATTTCTGCAAGATATGTTGCGAAACAAAGGAAACCGCTGCGCAAGACGACGCTGGCACTACACGAGCAGTCAGTCTACACTACAGCCGCGCCCCGCTCCGAGCCGAAACCTCGTGAGCTGGAAACGTGTTTCGATTGCGTTTAACTAACTGCGCTGCAGCTCTCTGTTGTTCCTAAACTGCAGTGCAAACTGCGCGCGGCAGCAGATGCTGCTACAGTAAACAATGCCTCCCGACGACAGAACGCTGTCTACATGTGCCGGCCGAGGAGAGACAACAGCCCCTGGAGGTGTTGCGAGAGATCGCCCCTGCGGAGCGCGTTAATCTATTCTCCCCTCCTTTCGGATTCGCGGACCGTCTGCGGAAGGTGCGAACACAGCGTGCTCCCTTTACAGCCGAAGGAAGAGTTCGCGCCAGCCACGACAGCGCGTGCATTTATTCTCCGTGGCACCGTGCGCTGAGGCTCCCTCTTTAACCGACTGCAGGCGTGCGCATAAGCACATGCTATCTGTTTATGTGTGTAAGGATTACGAAACCCTCTCGCGTGCCTCCTTTTAGACATAGTCAACAGCACTATACTCGGCGACAACCTTCTGTGGCAGCACTGTCAAAGCAACGTGGGCGGAGCTTGTGCATATGTGTTACTACGCCAAGTAACTCGTTTCCGTACGATTTCGGTTTCGGTTTCTCAAGCGCATCCAACATCTACGTTTTCATACGACCACCATGCAATAACTCTTACATTTATTTGAGTGGAAATAAATAAAATGCGCTAATTTTTAAGGAAACGAACACGAAGCTTCTTTGAAGCGTTCAGATTTATTTCAGAAAAATAAGTATACGGCCGAGCAGGTACTGGGCGATTGAAACAACGCAAAGCGAAGAAACCATTGCCTAAATTTTAGTACATACTAATACGGTATTATTGGTTTCCTTATTTTAGAGACACAAAAATTTACTGGAGACGCTCACGTTCGATTTCACAGGACGCGAAGGCAACGATGCGAAGCAGACTCTTGGCACGAATAAGTCATGACCAAGCGCCTGACCTTCGTAAATCCAATTGAGTGAAACGAAATCTTTACTCGGTCAATAACGCTGTTTTTGCACAGTGAACAGGCTAATACACATGAACGCGTCTGGTACCTAAGCAAAGCGCAAGGAATAACTCCCTCCATAGACGCCGACGGAAGCAGTGTTGCGGTACTGGAACAAAGCCGAGAAAGACAAAGTCGACGCGCTGATTAGAAAAGCGTACAGAGCTGCGCTGGGTCTACCGCAATGCACAAAGAAAGAAAGGCTGCTACAACTTGGAGTACGTAACACGCTAAACGAGATCGCTGAAGAACAAAGGATAGCTCAATTAAAACGATTGTCTGTAACCATGGCGGGTAGAGAAATTATGGAAAATATCTCCATTATTACCACGGAATGGAAGGTCCCAAGACGCAGATTCACCCGGACGTCCGGTCCCCAATAATTACGGAAAACATCCCAAAAAATATGCACCCTGTACACAACGTTGAGAGATGGAAATGCCACCCGAAAATAATCCTTAAAAACCACGGCACGCGGGAGGGTGTGCTTTTTGTAGACGCCGCCCGGTATTGCCGAAATAAACATATCAGTAATAGGGTTGTGAATGGCTCCTTCTTCGCAATGGCAGTCATAGACACAAAAGGGAAGACCTTGACCACGAGCTCCGTAAGGACCAGATCATCAGAGGCAGCGGAAGAAATGGCCATTGCACTGGCTCTAGTGAATGGTCGAAAACACGATAGATTAATAATCAGTCACTCCCCAAGATGGCCATTAGGAATTTCAAAAAGGGATGCGCCTCCCTCGTAGCAGCCAAAATCCTGAACCGCAGAGCAGAAGACTTCCGGAACGGCAAACTTGTATCCAAATACCTCAAGTGGATCCCGGCACACATGGGTGCATTAAACTTCGAAGATGCGACCATCCCTCAAAACCTAAACGAGAAGGCCCGCCAAACTGTGCGAAAACTAAACCACCACGGCTCGGGCAGCGACGCCCCCCCCCCCCCCCCCAGACCACAGAAGGGGGGACGACTCCGGTGGAGGCGATGGGGACGATGGAGGTGATGACAGTAATGAATATGCGATAGAAGCCGACAGAGACAGAGTGGTCACGTATCATGACATATTGGCACATTAAAAGCGACAACGAGAAGAATATCCGCCACCACACAAACAGCTAGACAGATATCAAGAAATAGATTGGCGAATATTGCAAACCAGAACCTTTTCAAATCCAGTACACCTGAACAAAGTAAATTCCAGACAATACCCACAAACAAGCTGTACCCTCTGCAAGCACGAACACGCAGATATGGCACATATTCTATGACAATACACACAGGTCAAAGTAATATACCGAGATGACAATATAAAACCGGACCTTCTCGAGGAGCGTTGGCTAAATGCGCTGAATAGCTCAGATCTGCACGACCAACTATGGGCAATCCAGCGGGCCCGGGCAGCGGTGGAAAGGCTACGCCTCACCGCACAAAACGTCGGTGTGGCCTGAGCCAGGGCCGGTAACCCTGCAGGGTTTCTTTTTTTTATTTCAAATGCGAAGCATTTCTTAGCGAACTTCGGCGACCTTGAGCGTATCTATCTATCTATCTATCTATCTATCTATCTATCTATCTATCTATCTATCTATCTGTCTATCTGTCTGTCTGTCTGTCTGTCTGTCTGTCTGTCTGTCTGTCTGTCTGTATCTATCTATCTATCTATCTATCTATCTATCTATCTATCTATCTATCTATCTATCTATCTATCTATCTATCTATCTATCTATCTATCTATCTATCTATCTATCTATCTATCTATCTATCTATCTATCTATCTATCTATCTATCTAGCCGCCTACGACTTTTAGCTCTCCTGGTCGTTTGAATAATGGTATCGATACCAAACTTGGTACGGCATAACATGACTGTATGACAAGCATATTTGACTAGTCATAACATGAGAATCATGATATGTATGTCATTATTGTTATGATTTACATTTTATGGTCTTCCTGCTCTTGCAGTGGTCTCGTTCATATGACATGCTGCAAAACTGGTATGGTATGACATGGCGAACACAAGCGACCGACCCTAACGTGGAAATCATGACATGCATGTCATGTAAGTCATGATTCATGACTACACGCCACGCTCATGATGCGCTCGCAGCCGTCTCGCTAGCTTCACTTATACCCAATTCGGCGTTACGTGATGCGAATGGATGACGAAGGTATATGACTGGTGCAAACATGATGATCATGAGATGCGTGTCATGTGACATTATGAGTACAAGCCACACTCATGATGCCCTCGCAGTCGTTTCGCTAGCTTCACCTACACCAAATTTGGTATTAAGGAACGTGAATGAACGTGAACTCACGTGAATACCAGCCACCTCCCACGCCAAATGTAACAGTAAGCAGGCGGGAATATACATTCACACAAATGTTAACGGCGATAACAAGTTTTGACACTTAACGGCTAACTCATAGCTGGAGCCTATCAAGAAGGTGAGAAATATTTGTAACTATGGACGCTATTCGAAACTTAACAACGTTTACTTTTTGTAGAAGTCTGTCTTTCTGTACATTTGTCTGTTTTCCCACTATTAACGGTGTAATAAACAGCCCCAATGTGACCAAACAATACTCCGAACGGCCGACCCCATTCGCAGCGCCCACCAATATTGCTCAAGATTTAGCGTTCATACTTGTGCAACTGTCAATCAAAAAAGCAACTACTGTGCATATCTGAGGCACCATAATAATACGTCATTATTCTCTATGTGTCTCTTTCTAGAAAAGGCATACATAAGTAATTATAAGGACCGTAGCATTTATCACGTTGCGCTGACCAGGTAACGCTTGCGCGAAAAAGCTTGTGTTTCCAACGCTTTGCTAAGACGACACAGTGGTGGCACCTACCCGTCGCCTTGCGTTCTACACCTTATCAATTCCAAGACGGGCGCGCAGGGCGCGCGCGTTTTGTTTTCTAAGATAACTACCAAATAGCGCTCATGTTTCACGTGTGACGTGACTTGATGAGCTCGTTCGCCTCCGCTGCACGCTTGAGGCACTCTAATGCAGCGCCTCCAGAAAACCATTCACCAATTTTCTTGCGCAGAACATCGAGTAACGTTTTCTTCACTCTCCGCAGATGCAAGACTATCGTCTTTCGACGACATTTGCACTGTAACAAGGAGATATGGGGCCAATTTTTTAAAGAACCTGCAAACAACTCCTAAAGAAGGAACCCGTGGCTTTAGTGACAGAATATGTAAGTTTGGTACTGCGGCTCCACCACGCTCAGATTACAAAGACGCTTACCTAGGACAGGGCAGGCATTGCTCGCACCGTCAGGTATACTCAGTCTGAAGTTCACTTTGCCTGGGAACTCGAAACCTGTGCAAGAAATGACAGAAGAAAAAAAAAACTGTCATAAAGCAGGAGCAAGGCTCTAGGCAGATTTATTGAAGAAACCAACAATGAGTTGTTTTATTTTACTGAGAACTGTTGAAAGGAAACAGGTTCCACATAACCAAACCATAGAAAGTAAGATTTCTTCTAGCACTTCCAGCCATTCAATCGTCTATAGATATAGTGAAAATGGAACGATTCTACGTGATCGTTCTCTGACAATGTTGGTGGTAGCTCATGGGCTTTCGGCAGTTTTATAGTTCTAAGAACAGTCCACCAGTATCATTTAGATAATGCAATAGCAATGTCTCATCTTTCTTAACCAAAATCGCAGCTGCCAACATTTTTTACAAGCTCTGAAGACTGTCGTAAAAAACAGTACAACAAATACTTTCAGCAGAGCGATAGACTAACCACCGAAGCACGATATAAACAATGCAAGGAGATTGCTTTCAGGCCCACCAGTCATACGATTCCACAGTAATTAGTTTGGTTGGACTCATTTGTTATGCACAACTCAGCACCATGAGCGGCCCTTGGTGTGCAGAGGAGCCCATGATACATAGCGCGCCCACCTGGGACCAGAGCTTCTGTATTTTTTCGCTTGTCACGAAACCTGTCGTAATATAGTTCAAAGCGATGGCACACTCGGAGGGAATTACGCTCGTTAAAGAACTGCTGTTCCAACACAAAGCGGCATGGTGTCAAGCCAATTTGATTTTTTGCGATCTAAATTAGAGCTTTGAATTCATATCGCGTCGCAGCCGTTATTGGAGGAATAATAGGAAGGCACAGGGAAAGCATTATGCGAGTTGGGTCAAACCACATTTACCAATACTGAACTTGTTGCTGTCCAATCTATTGTTCGATTTCCAGCGACAGGAAAGCTTTTACGGTAAATTATAAAGACCGGTATAAACGAGCTTTCATATTCTATTCAACTACTCAACCCGAAATTTGCCCTCACGGTGGTCTAGTGCTTACAATGAGCGTTTGCCGATTTGAAGGTCACGGGATCGAATTCGGCCCGCGGCGGCCACATTTTTGATGGGGATGCTGGAGGCTCGCGTACTTTGACTTGGGTACAACCGTGCGCAAAAAGATTCGGACCAATGACGTTAGTATATCTTTGCCATCAGCGCCATCTAGTAGCGAGCCACCTGCTGTCGAGAGATTTCAATGGCGCACTTCATGAGACTCGACGGCGTAACTCAATGAAGTGGCTTGTTCGGTTCATTGGTTCATTCTGAAATTGATTTGAGCGCAAATGAACAACACACAAGAGGAGAGGATGACTGTACGAGCACTCGTACAGTCGTCCTCTTTACTTGCGCGTTCACCATTTGCACTCAAATCTATCCCAGACGGCGTAGACGGCGCTTCCTTGGTCCTAGAGGGTGGTGATTTGGGCTTGTTGGTATGGTAGCATGATTATATATAGGAGCACAAAGGACATAAACAAGAGAACGCACATTCAAGACAGCGCTTTGTCGTCTTGAGTGTGCCTTCTCTTGTCCATGTCCTTTGTCCGTGTACTTTTTTACGCGGGTGCAGATGTTAAAGAACACAAGATGGTTCAAATTGTCGGGACCTCCACTATGGAACCTATATTGTTCACATTGTCATTATATGATGTGACAACCCCTCCCCATGTATTAAAATATAATTATTTGATCTGACTTTCTCTTCCCACGCTGACGAAAGGGTACGTTTTTAATCTTCAGTGACACTGCCTTAGTGGAAATATGTTTATTAGGTCTAACTACTAACAGCATCACCATTTCTCATAGGTTGTGACCTCATCAAGTTTAGCGGAGCTGACGTCACAGATATTGTGGAAACAGATTCCACGTTGACCTACGCATGGTAATCGTGTCACGCTAGCATTAGAGTACGGCGGCTTTCGCGTTTTTATTATAACACCGCGTACGTATAAACATAAACTCACAAAGTTATTATTATTATTATTATTATTATTATTATTATTATTATTATTATTATTATTATTACGTTCGCGCTTTTGTAAAGCACTGGCTACTTCTTGACACGTATTTGAAAAGCACAGCTACGAAAAACTCATAAAAATTGTAATGAACGCGGAGGGCTTCAGAAAATTTGACCATGTGGCGTCATTTGACGTGCACTGACACCATACAGTAAACAAATTCTACCATTTCGCCCCCAACGAAATGCGACCACTGCGATCGGAATCAAACTCACGACGTCCAGGTCAGCAGCCGAGTTTTGTAGCCGCTGATCCCCAGTGGCGCACAGGAGCAAAGCTGAAACAAGTAGACTTGTAGGAAGAAGTTCGCTTGTTTCAGGACTTTTTGTCCGTAGAACTTGCACGATCATTGTACACACAAGGAGAACTCTGTAGGAGCGCAGAAAGCCTGCGGCGTACACTCAGGTTATCCTAATGCTTTCATGTCATGATGTCTCTTCTCTTGTGTCCCGTTGGTTTGCGCTTACAATTATATCCTAATGCTGCTCTATAGGCGAAAACTCACAGGTTCTTTTAAACATTCACTCGAAGACGAAAGCGTCGATTTTCTTCTCAGTCGATGCCCCTCGAAAAGCTGTCTGAACCTAACATTTTTCGGTATGTATTGCAGAGGGCAACCAAAAAAGAAATTCCCGTTGGACCTATTTGGTATGAGATTTCCCCTGTAGATAATGAGGATGGTTTGTCATTTGACTTAATGACAACCGAGCCATGGGTATGCTTGTGAATACAGTGAAAATAAATACCTCTGCTTGTAAAGCCAGAGAGAGTATATATCTTACATGCTCTACAAACACGCGCGTTGTATATGCATGCTTCACAATGCAACATATATTATCGCAAAAATAATGTGTGGTAGAAGCGTACATTGGGATCAAGTGTCAGAGCCTGTAATTATCATGACCTCATAATTTAAATTGGGCTACCCACTACAGGAGACACTGACAATACAGCGCCTTTTCCCTTAAAGGGCCCTTAAACAATTTTTTCCAGTAACTTTGGAATGGGTTCACTATAAAAGAGCTTATTGCCTCACAAGTTCAACGCCGCAAAATTTCAAGAATTCGTTCAGTAAAAAGAATTGTCGCACGCTGCCATCACGTTCTCTCTTCTCGCGTCCTAGCGAAAGTACTGGAGGCTAAGCAGGAAGGGATGGCAGGGGCAAAGAAAATACGTCAAACGCGCCTTGTGACCTTGAGCACGTTTTTTTTTTTTTCGAATAAGCGGAGTTTTTCGAGTGATCGCGCGCGCACACGTGTACAAGTCACAGCCGCCCGCAACGGCCCCTGTAACAACCGAGCACGCCATGTTCAAATCAGCCAATAGCTTATAGATGGCCTTCTACACGTAATTATTGAGCGCCTTGCGTCATTTCTCGAAAGAAGAGAAAGAAATTTTTAGCTGACTTTGTTAGTTTTATTGTGAATTCCAGAGCGCGTGATGCGCTATGCTATTGGGCTCACGTGTTGTCGGGCGCCTCTACTACCAATCGGCAGCGTTTTCTAGTTATGCTCCAAAACGTGTTTCAGGCCCCCTTTAAGGCCACGTATTGAGTGCATAGAAATTTCAAAAAGATTTCACGCACACAATTGCCCGTGGTTTAAAACATGCTACCCATAACACAGAATGCAGACTTATGTGAAAGCTTCACTGACACAAGACACTTTGAACTTATAACGCACTAGGAAGAGGATATCGCTATCGCATTCAACTCTTAAATTGAAAGTTTAGGGTGCCCCAGTTTAGGCATTGCTTCTTCGATCTGACCATCTCTGGCGAGGCCTCATTGTCACGTGACGTTACAGTGACTAAGTAATGACCTCATAATAGCATCACAGGTTTTGGCGCTCTGTCACGTGACGTGACGTCATACGGAAACGCCGCGGGACGCTGACGCTGTCAAAGCGAGCGAGACGCCTAAGCCATATTGAAATGTCGCGTTGACTGAGGCATGTAATGCGTTCGCGTTAATATATGCACAGGTGTAGCCACGCTCCTCGAAAACACCGTCAGTCATTGTTTAAATATGTATACCGCCTTTTAAACAGAGCCAATACGCGAGTATGCACCCTCAGACAGCCTATTACACGTATTTGTGATATTATTCAATTTACTTGTTTCTTACAGCAGGTATAGGAAACGTGGCTGCTTTGCTTTATGATTGTAGCTTTAATTTCTTTCTTTACCTAATCTAACCACCAGTATCTCTTCCCCACGCGCTTTGTCTTCTACAATAATCGACTAATGATCTTCAATGCCGATTGCGCATTCGTCTGATATATATTTCTCTTTCTGTATTTGTTGTGGAACCACGATCGCCTGATTCACTTGTTAACAACATTAAAAACTTAATTCAAGAGGGTCTGTATGCTGGCGTCATTCTGTAGCTCATCGGATTTATATATATATATATATATATATATATATATATATATATATATATATATATATATATATACTTCATTTCTCTCTGGCCCAAAAAAAGTCACAGCTTTGACCCAAAGTCGAAGCAATGAACGCGATAGCAACAGATTGGAAGGTCACGCGCGGAATGGCAAGTAAGTCGAAAGGTGCCCAGCATTTCTCACGCACAAATGACGCACGAGCCGTACGGGTACAGATGAACGCGAATAAGCGTCTCAGTTGTTAATTTGCTGTGTCTTAAAAGCACACTCTTTTCGCAAACGGAGACTGTGCAACGATTGCAGTGACTTTTGCGTGCCCGGTAACTCCAACATAATCGTTACGGTGAAAGCCCAAGGCCAGCCAAGACGCACGATTCTCCCCACCACGAGATGAGCCCACGCGTGAGCCTGCACCCAGCCCCTTCTCTTAGGGGTAAAGTACGCGTGGGAGATGAGAGCACGCTCCGTCCCGTCGTGATGATGTGGCGACGCGTTCTCATTGCGTCATCTTGGGTGTAATGCTGAACACTATAGCTTCCCCGAGATGCCCGTCGCCAGT